ACAGTACTACAGTACTACAGTACTACTACTACTACTACTACTACTACTACTACTTCTACTAATACTACAAGTACTACTACTGCCGACCGACTTTGTTAACAAGTACGAGCGTGACCCCCGACGGGAAAGGTTCTCCAGCGGGAGGCTTGCCGTGAACGCTACATTCACTCCTAGATCCAGCAAAGTGTTGAGCCTGATAGATGGGACATCAGAGCCACGACGTTGATCCTGAGATGGTAATTCCTAGATAAACTCAACACCCGAAACCTGCAGTACTTCAACACTCGTAACCTGCAAGCTTGAGCTTTAAGCCGTAAACATTCACACCCCAAGCCCGGACTTCAGGAAGCTCTCAACGTGCCCAAGGGCCTAAACAAAGGAATGTGCCATAGGTTAAGGGAGATTTACTTTGTGTGATTGCAGGTCCATGCCTGAACAAGCCTCCCGAGAGCCCCAACCACCACTCCCACCGACAAAAACCTCAAAACCGGCATCAAACAAGCACCTGAAACCCCGAACCCTAAAGCAAAGTCCCAGGTCCTCTGCGGGGCTCGCCGAGCGGACCTTCGAGTCCAAGCGTCGGGACTTCCAGCGCTTCCTCGAGCGCGTGAAGCGCGGGGAGGGGGCGTTTCCATCCTTTTTTCACAGGGTTCCTTCGAGGTCGGAGGTTCAGAATTTTTACTCCTTGAACTTTGGGGTTGAGGATTTTGGGCATTTGGCGGTGGCGGGTTTCAGCGGTCTATCTCAGGGCGGTTTTTGTTTGCAGCTGTCGAGTTTCGGGTTGGGTTGAGCGAGGGATTGTTGAAGGTTGATGTTTGTGGGTTTCGGGATTGATTTGATTGATGGTTTCAGAGTCCAGGGGCAGGATTTTGGAGTTTGGTATTTTGCAGCTCTCGGTTTTCCGGTCTAGGGCGTGGGGGTTCTAGGGCATGCCGTGTCTCAACGGAGGGCTGCGCTTTTGCTAGGGGCAACCAGACGTACGTGCGATGGGTTGCTGTGGCACAAGAACCAGGTTGCTCCGGGTTCAGGGTTTCAAGGGCTGAGGGGATTGTTAAGGAATTAGATGTAAGTAGGATTTCGTGAGGGGAGCTCTTGGGTTTGCAAGGATGCACAAAGGATACTGCATGGCGTATTGACTCGTAGCCTCCGCCGGTGATGGCCGCTTGCACAATCGTTGGCCGTGTCGGGACTATCTTTCTGCTTCATCGACGACCAGAACATGACAGTGGTACAGTTGTGCTGAGCTATTGCATCTGCTGATTCCGGACAGCTGATCTGCTGCGAGATAGATGCTCAGATGTTCTGTTTGCAGTTTGAAGGTTTTGGAGACGTGCAGGCTACTGGCATCTTGCTGCTGACTTAACAAGTCTTTGCGGTGGTGCTTGCTATAATATACATTCTCACCAGACACCCTCGATCCTAAAGCCAAAAGCTGAGCCAGAAAGTCTTCACACTGATTTAGAGCAACCGTCTTTTGAGCCTCCTCCCTATCGGGGAGTAACTCCCCGAAATTCTGCCCTTCTTTCGTGTATTGGCAGTGTTTCTCGCGACGTCCGCCTTTGAATTCTGTTTCTAGCGATCATCATTATTATTTTGTTGTGCTCGGGGTGTCCTCTGTTAGCTGACAATCTCTGCAGCCCGTGCTTGTGTCGCCAAAGCCTGGAGTCGAGTGCAGAAGGTTTGCTGTCGCAGAAGGTCCGGGATTCCAGGTATGCCTGGTTCTGAGGCGGCCCTCCTGCCCGATGCACTAAATGCCTTGGCCAGGGACAAGTACAAGATCTCGTCCAGCAGCAAGGACACTCGGTCACTCCTCGGATTGATGCTGCGCCAATGTATGCCTGTTCCACGCATCGTTTCCGGAAGCAACCGTAAATACTGGAGAAAAACATAGAGACGACGATTGAATTCCAATTGACCCCAAGTGAGCCAACCCCCAGAGCGGAAAGTCGAGGCATTAGTTCGAAGCCTTTCACACGAGCCACCCGTCTTTCTGGGTTGCAGGACGGTGAACAGGTTCTTCGACAGCTGATGCCTCGGTGTATTCAGAGCTTCGGGTTTTGCAGCTGTGCTTTCTCGTTTTCGTAGGCTGTTTAGAAGGATGTGAGTGACCTCGCACAAGATTTTGGAGCGCACTTCCCAAATACTCATGGCGCAGGTTTACTCAAGGCACCCATTGCTACAATCGTAGTCGTCTTGCACGATACGGTAAAGACCCTACGCGCGACCGAGCATTCAGAAAAACCCTGTGCGAAGGGTGCCTGCAGGTCTCTACTTGAGGCTTTTTAGACCTTTATTAATCTCGGCACTTCCCAGGCTCAGCCCAGCTGCCCGAGTTACGAACGCTCGGGGCGGACTCAAGCTCTAACCTAAGCCTTCAAAGCCCTAAATCCTGAAGCTGCGAGAGTTCTTTGAAACGCCCTCCTAGCCTTGAAGCCTTCAATCCTGCACGTGGCATCCCAATGCAACAAAGCGGCGCCCAGAGGTTCAAGCGCTTCTGCCAGAACTGGTTGAAGGTCTTCCAGGCCCGCAACAAAAGAGTTTTCGCAGGGACAGTTCCGGCTTCACCGGCTCGTAAAGCGAATTGGGGGCTACGGGGCTTTTGAGCGGTATGATAAGGTATTTACAGCATGCTATCGGGTGCTGGTCGGGATCGTGGCGGTGTTCGGTGCTTATGAACCTGAACACTTCGCAACTCCAAGAACCCACGCTTGATGTCACTTGTCCTGAACCCAAGTCCCAGATGCCTCTATCCTGTTCCCCTAAGTTTGGAGCCTTCGCACTCAAAGCCAAGTGGGGGACCTAAGAGTTCGAAGTCTGCGAGCTCATCCTGAGCCCAAACCCCAAAACTCGGTTGTGTTTAGGGAGCCCCGAGTTCGGGTCGAGCCGAGGCATAAACATGGTGCGGTTCATGGGGAAACGACCTAACGAGTTCAGGTTGAAGCTGCAGGGTCTCACATTCAGGGGTTCAGGCTGCGTGTTAAGGATTTAAAGGTTTCGCCCGAAGTTGATTTAGGGTTCAGTCAAATCCATGATTCGAAGCTGCGGGAGATCATGCATAGGACTCCTAGCTCCAAACTTAAAATGCCCTGGCGTTCGGCCTTGTACCGACGTGGACTCTGGCAGGAGTGCTCCATTGATCCGATCAATCACCCAAAGAAGGTCGTCGACGAAAAGGCTGGGGCATAAGGCATAAGTGCTGTTCGTGAATCACAAAGTCACAAAATGCCACAAAGGTTATGACCTCAACTCCCAAGAGCCCGAAACTTGCAAGATCCCACTGGCGACAGCCATAACTGGTCGAAAATCAGAAAAGTTGGCAGATGGGTGCCCAAACCTTGAAAGATACGCGGCAAGCTGTAGCCATTTTGACCAAACCCGGCTGTATTCAAAGGCTTACCTCTGCTTCGGCTTATTTTGCGGTGGCCCATGATGGTTCGCCACTTGGGGATTCAATATCAAAACAACCGAACTTGCGCCGAAGGCACCTATGGGTGCAACAGATCGCGTGAGACAGCTCGAACACAGGCCGAAAACAGCCGTGTTTGTGAAGCAAACTGACAGAGTCAGAGCAGCAGACAACAAGCAGATAGGACTTCCACTAAATCTCGAATCCTTAATCCCAGACCCTACTATCAGCCCCAAAGCCCTAACCCAAGCCCGCAAAAACAGCCCAAAACAACCTAATCAACCCCTCGACCAGAAGCTCTTTTCATCCCGGGCCAGGACTTGGAGCACTGCACTTCCATCCCCCAGGTCGATGAGTCGTATGGAAGGGTTGGGGTTTCAGGATTTTCGGGTTTAGGGTTTTTGAAGGTTTTGATTTAAATGTAGGGTTCAAAGAGTGTTACTGTTAGAGTCTTTGGGCGCGTTCTGTAGGGTTACGAAACCCCACAAACCTACAAGCCGCAAGACTGGAACAACTCAATATAAGCAACAGTCAATGTGAACAGCTTACACAATCGAAGCCTGGATCAAGCCCCCTAAAGCCTAAGCCCCCAAACCACTCAAGCCCTTAGCCTGAAGGCGTTGACCCTAGAAGTTCAAGAATGCGAGGGTTGGATGGACACGGCTTGGGATTTCGAATGCAGAGTGTTTGCCGGTATCTGCACTTTCATCCAGGGGACCGCTTGCAGGCCAAGAGGTCCAAGAATAAGAAGAAGCGGCGCAGCCAGAGTTTCTGGGGTGATCTCATTAAGAGCAAGTCTGTGTGTCGGGGGCCTATTATCGTGGGCAGGAACATTCAGACGCCACCAGCAGCGACAGCAACGTCAGCAACAGCAAAAACGCACCAGCAGTGAGGGTGCTTTGATCACTTTGATCTTGTTGCTTGTGTGTCACTACCAGCATTACATCTCACGCAGCGCTCATGCCTTTGTCGCTCCAAAGGCCTCTGGAACCGTTGTGGAAGGAACACAAAACCTAAGAGACGTTGGTAGCAACCATAGCACCCTAACAGAACTCTAAAGAAGCATATGAAAATCTTCATAGCACACTTCTAGAGTTCTACAGAACCCTATGAGAACCCCGTAGAACCTTTGTCAGAATCCGGCAGCCATCGCCTTCGAACAGGTAGCCGACCTTTGCTTAGACAGGCTGAAGAAAACGGAGGCGATTCCAGGGCGGAGTTCTTAGATCAAACTTCATAGGGGCTCCATAGGTTTCGAGAAGAATCCTGAAGTTAGTTTAGGCCTTCTGGGTTCAGGTTGGCCTTGCTTTATCGTTGCTTCTGCCTTCTTTTATTGGATGGCGTATCACCTGATGGCTATTGATTCGAAGAGCCATTCTGAATGTATTGCTCGCTCATTCAATTAGCCTGTCGACTTATTTGTTTAGTTGTTGGTTGGTTTTACTATTTTGTGTTTGCTCATATTGCTCTTATTAGCTTACTCGTGTAATATTCATTTCTTATTTCACATTCACTCACACACACACACACACACACACACACACACACACACACGGACATTCACATTGAACAGATATCGGCGAAACAGGGCTTCAAAGTGTCAAGGCCTGCGGGTTTTAGGCTTCAGGGCTGTCCGTAGGGAGGGTTGTTCTTCAGCCTTCGGCTGAATCCGGCAATTGCCATGTTCAGTTTTTGCAAGATGGTTCCAGACCTCACGTGCATTTGGCCTTTGGGTTGGTTCCATATTTTGGGCCCAGGAGGTTGGTGAAGCACCCAAGTGACAACACGACCTCTTGTGATCATCACTACCGCTGGACTGTTGCGATGATGAGTTTTTGGCTGTTTCTCGTTTGACGCTGGGAAATGCGCAGACTTTTCCGCAATCGCTTCTAGGCTTTCAGGATTGTCAGCTTTTGGCCTGCGGGGCTCGGGGACCTGGGCCTTCGTCTCGGTTTGGCGTTCAGAGATTCACGAAGCCGAAGGCCACTGTTACCTGAAGCTCACAGGTAAGTTTAGGGTTTCATCCCCGAAGTTTTACATCGCAAGCCCAGGCCCTGACTTCACCCCAAAAGTAGAAATGCCACCATGGTTTAGAGTTTGCAGCTCTTTAGAACTCCTATAGTCTACTACTTGTTTGCCCATTGTCAGGACTATTCCCCCTCTACACTCCAAACCCACACCCTCCGATTCCGAAGCCCCTTGCCCGAAAGACGCTACGGACTGAACCATCGCGGTGCCGTCGCAGGTACGTTTCATCAGCACCCAGCGAGACCAGGAGCATTTTGAGAGTGGCAGGGTCTTCGTTTCTGGGTCTCTGTTTCACGTTCTGTTTTTGGAACCTGAAAACGCCGAATCCCAAATCATCCGCAGGATGCGCAGCTGCTGAGAAAGAACAAAAATGACCTCCGACGCATGACGCAGAGCGAAGCGCGGCATACGCAGCTGCAGGGGTGCCCAGACAGTTTGGCAGCTTTTGTTGGGGCTCATGGCATCTACCGGGTTTTGCACGGGTTTGTTGCACACACTCCAGATGGGCAGGCACGGCCTTGGGTCCAGCCTTCGAAATCTGACAGAGTCAATTCGCCGACTAAGGTTTGGCTCTGAAGTTCCACCGAGCACAGAGCAGCCCCAAAGCTCTACACTCAGACCCCAAAACCATTGAAGAAATGACCGAAATCCTTAGAGAACCCCTCAAAAAACAGAAAGGACTAGAACTAATAGAATCTAATAGAGCCCCCTCAGAAGTACACAGGCCCAGAGCCAAAGCCCCTCCGAGGCTCGAGCTGCCAGCGCCCAGCAGCTCCGCGAGCCTCGGGACCTCCCGAGGCGACTGACCTGGCGGAGGGTCTTCCAAGGGCCAAGGGCGCTTCGAAGTTTTTGTGCCCGCTAGGGCCCTATAGGGCCTGGGCTCTCTTGAAGGCTTGTGCTTCGGCTGGGGCTTTTTTCTCAAGGTTTAGGTCAAGTGGTGTCGTGGTATAAGGAACAGCTGTAGCACGCGCGGCAGTGGTCGCAGAAGCCTGGTAATTGGAATCGTAGGGGCAGGGGCGGTGGCAGCATCTGATCATTGCTTCTTCTGGTAACTTTGCTCTTAACGGGAAAAAGATCACACACACACACAGAGTGTTTTTGCGGAATCGTAAGGGTTTCCCCATAGTCTGCAAAGGTTTCCACCGCACACGCCCATTCGCAAACTCAAAGTACCGGCCGAATTGAAGCCCCCCAAATCTTGTTTGGACCTTAAACTTCTTTTTGTTTAACCATAGCCTCTTTTACCCGTCAATCGTTTGAAATCGTGAATCCTGTTTGTTCGACACTAAGTTGCACTTTAACCGCAAGTCTTTTTCTCCACACATCCTAAGCCACCCGCTCCAGGTACTCGCAAGGGTCGCCTGTCGTGGCTGCAGCTGGGTGGGTTCCACGCTTAGTTGGCTCCCGAATCTCATACTGCACCCCAGGCACTGGTAGCCCTAAGTCCTAACCACTTAAACCTAACCCTACACTTCAAACCCTAAATACGCCATGGTTTTCTTGTGAAGGTTTCCCTTTGGAAGTGTTCGGGCGGTTTCGTGCAGATTCTGCGCCACGGAAAAGGTGTGGCCCCTACACGGTGAACAGCGCCTGGGGTGGGGCCCGGGTTACCTTCCAAGCTCTAAGGTGGAGGTTTCGACATGTAAGCTATTGGGGTTTAGGGTTTAGGGCTTGACGGCTTCAGGGTTTGAAGCTGTAAGGTTTGGGGGTTTGGACTTTGTGATCAGATCTCCAACCTGAAGCAGACCTCTGACAGCATGCCCCTGGTCCTCTTGAAACAAGCTTCCTCATTGGCTCACAGATATGCACCTTCACCATCCCAAATCGAAACCACACGCCCGGAAAGGAGTTTCAGACAAGAAAGGCTTTGTTGAAAAATTAAGGCTTTAGGCCTCCCTCCTTCGTGAGAGCCAAGAGTTCCCTCAGAATCGCCTGTGGAGGCCGCGACAGTTTTACATCAAAAGCAGCCAGACAAAGGAGCTTTCGGGGTCGGGCTTGGGGTTGTACCCGCCTTCTCCTGCGCTGCTTACGGCTTCTGAACTCCTTAAGAAGCCAGAGGAAAGGGAGACGTGAATTCTCGGACTCAGCACCTTGGGGCAGACGGGGTTGGGCTGGGGGTTTTCAGGGTTTTTTCGGGTTTCAGCGTTGAGGCTTCTGGGTTGGTTTATGAAGCATCTGCGCTGGACCCATGCGCTTTGAGCTTGTGACCAAAGCCCCGCGGCCTGTAATGGAGGCTGCACGAATTTCAAGCGGGTAAACCTTAAGTGTAGAACCATCTCCGAGGAGCCCGCTGGCCATCGTCCCTGAACCCTAAACACCCTTGACTAAATCCTGTTCAGAGAGCTCAGTACCCTTAGCTAAAACTTTCCAAAAACATATACGCGGAGCACTTCACTAGACCCTAGTCCGTACGGCCCGAAATCGAAAGCCAAGATCCCCAAACCCAAACCTTGCAATCCCAAACCCTCCGATTGAAAATAAAGCCCAGACCAAGCCAAACGAATGCTAAAGCCGCAAACGCCCTCCCTGCCAGGACTCCTACCCAAAGGAGATCCGATGTTTCTGCGGCCATTTGATAATTCTCTCCTTCGAGCATGTCGGGAGCTCACGAAAGAGTTTTCTCGATGTGGCATTTCAACGGGGGACTTAAATGGTTGTGGCATTTTGCGGGCCTTGAGAGTAAAACCTCGCTTGTTGGAACTAGCTTGTCTCGTCATGTCTTGGGGGTGAGGTGGCTGCTATTAACAAACGTTGAGGTTCAGGCTGTTGTGCGCAGTGTTTTGTCAGGGGCTGTAGGCCTGAATCATTAGCAGCGTTATGCCTGTCAGTTCCAGAGGATATTTTCAATAGATCACCGAAAAGCCTTGACCGAAGTATTCGAGCATCTATATTTGAGCCCGAAGCTCCGCAAGCCATGCAACCGTGGCCTACTTCCACTGATGGAGAGGCGCTTCCTATTTGGGGCCTTAAGATTTGCAGACGACCCGAGGTTTAGGATGCATGATACATGACTTCTGTGGAGCAGGAGCCCCCTGTAGCCCTGAGAGAACCCTTATGTAGACACCTTTGAAATCATTCAGGCCCTTAGAGTACACCCTCAGCACTCCTGTTTGATACCATAGTTTCTTCCCAGTGTTATCGTCTCACCGTCAGGCCAAGCTTTTGATTGGCATCTTCGCGGGATTGATGCTGATAGTGTGCCCAGGTTTTGTTTGCTGGGGCCGAAGGCAACTCTCAATCGTAAGCCCCACATCGAACCCCTGAACTTCAAATCCGAATCGGATTGGCGTTTTAATCTGCCTGCAAGAGTCTGTTTTTGGTTTTGGACAATATACAAAGCAAGCCGGGCAACGGGATAAAGACTTGCCGAAAAGACACAAAAAGCCAGTTTCAGTGAGGGGGAAGGGTTGGGTGGGCCCGGAGCCCGGAGACTGTGCTGTGTCTTTTGGCCATTTGCGGCCTGCTCCAAGGGCAAAGCGGCACGACAGGTGCGAAGGGCACCGCAACACTGCTGACGAGAGAGTGCAGGGATCGGAACAGCTCGTGTGCGGAGCAAAACCCAAAGCGACAACCAGGGCCAAAGAGACCCAGACAGGGCAGGCAAGTCGGAAAAAGACCTCACGAGAAAAGAGGGCAGGATAGAATTTCCAACCAGCCAGGGAAGAGACCCTAGACAGGGCAGGCCGGTCGGGAAAAGACCCAACGACAGAACCAGAAAAAGAGCCCACAAAACAGGTGGAAAAAACCAAGCCCCAGGAATCCGAAACTCTAATCTCTACGCCACGAAGATCCGCATCCCAGATCTAAAACCACGGCCCAGTTCCAAGATTTTTCGAGTTTGACTTTCGGGTTTTCTGGGTAAGGGTCTTGCAATTCAAGGTCGTTTTCGTTCAGGACCTGGGATGTAGAGTTTTGACTCACAGGCGTTGGGATCTGGGGTGGGGGTTACTGTAGGTTCATTTCGAGGCCTGGATGAAGAGTTGGCTCAGGACTTGCAGTTTAGGATTCAGGGTTGAGGAAGAAGTTTTAAGGTCTTGGTTTCGTTTGGGTTTCTTCGATTACCCAGAGCCTGGGGATCAGATTCGTGACTCTAGACCCTTGACCTTAAACCCTGAAGGCACATAATTCTAAAACGCTCCCAGTTTCCGCACCCTCAACATCGAACAGCTTAGGTTTTAGATTAAGTGAGGACAACAAGAATTCCGCAAGGAGCCAAAAATCGAACATTCCTCTACTGCTTCCGGTGGAGCCGATTTCTTCTGAGATCCACCGCAGGTACGATGTCTATGTCATGGCGACCAAAGACGGGTTCCTCCGTGGGTTTTGTGAGTGATTTGGGATTTCATTCCACATCTCTTCTGGCCTCGGTGGACGGTTGCTCCCTCATCCCTGGCCCGAAACCTTCAAAGCGACGGGACGCTCGGGACGGATCTTGGCAGATGGTGTCGTGAGGGTTTAGTTTATCGCCTCCAATGGCTTCGTCGCCGCTGTATGTCGCCTGCCTCAACGTTAATACCCGGAGCCCTCACGATCGAGCCCTTCCACGCCCTCCAACTCCCAGTGTTAGTCCTTCCATCCCGAACCCAAAGACTTAGTTTGTGCGTTCCGCATTTGGCATTAAAGCTGAACGTGGAACGCACAGACAGCAAGACGGTGAGCCCGAACCCCCAAGCCCCAGCAGAAGCCTCGGGTTTGGGGACTTTATGGTTTGAGGTTTGCAGACTTACGGCTATTTGCAGTTGCAGGGTTGGGCTTCTAAAGGTTTGAGGTTTTCCGGTTCGGTGTGTGCCCCCAGACCATGCGACTTTTTCAGTTCCGGACCCCACACAAACAGTGCCCACCCTAGACTTCTAAACACTTCGAGCAGCACGGCTGGGAAGCTGATAGCCTGCAGGTTCGGATCGTCCATGTTCTTGAGCGTTCTGGACCTTCTAGTCGTAGAGGCCCGGCGCGCCTGTGCTGTCGTGCATGTAGGTGGATGTCAGTTGAGGCTTTGGCGTCTTTGTGGGGTATATGTTTTCCAGATCCTGGATTTTTTCCGGGTTGAATTTCGGTGGGAGGTCCGAGTGGCGACGTCATCGGGCCGACTGCCACGGCCACCACGACCACCACGACGACGAGCAGCAGCAGCAGGAGGAGGAGGAGGAGCAGGAGAAGTGGAAGGAGAAGGAGAAGGTGAAGGTGAAGGAGAAGGGGGAAGGAGAAGGAGAAGGTGAAGGTGAAGGAAAAGAAGGAGGAGGAGCAGGAGCAGGAGGAGCAGGAGGAGGAGGAAGGAGGAGCAGGAGCAGTAGCAGTAGCAGGAGAAGGAGAAGGAGAAGGAGCAGGAGCAGGAGCAGGAGGAGGAGAAGGAGAAGGAGAAGGAGAAGGAGAAGGAGAAGGAGAAGGAGGAGGAGCAGGAGCAGGAGAAGGAGAAGGAGAAGGAGAAGGAGAAGGAGAAGGAGAAGGAGAAGGAGAAGGAGGAGGAGGAGCAGGAGAAGGAGCATGAGCAGGAGCATGAGCAGGAGCATGAGCATTAGCATGATGCTGCACCGCAGCTAGAACACTGGCCCAGCAGCAAACTACTGTAAAGCGGTTAGGACGACGAAGAGAACAGCCGTTGAGCATGACCCCTTCGACCCTAACCTCTCCTCAAACCCGCACCCGACAGACCCTTCCATGAGTCTATTAGTCTCAAGTCGGAAGGTTTGCTTGCTGGTGATGCTTTGCCGCTTCGAGGATCCACGGCTGCATCGCTTTTTTGAATTTTTTTTGTCAGGGTTTTTTGGGGTTCATCTCGGTACTGCAGAGGTTTAGTTTTTCGTGCTTGTCGGGGTTCGCATCGTCGGATATGGAGATGGCTTTGGGGGCTGTTGCAGTTGAGAGTTGGGGGCTGTGAGTCCCGGACAGGAGGAACATCCTGGTGTTAGACAGATCTCCAGGTGCATTGTTGTGGTTTGATGCCTTTTGGAGTTTGACACTAGATCCTAAGTCCTAAACCTATCCAGAAAGTTAAGTCACTCTAATGGCGAAAAAAGAAGAGGAGTGGTAAGAACGCTGAGCCCACAACAGGAAGCACCTCCAACGTTACGTCTAGGTTTGGACCATTGACTGCCTTGGACATGTCAAACCTGACCTGGCAGGGTCTGGAACAAGCTGTGCAGGCAGGTTGGGGACATGGTTCGTAGGGCATGAACCCGGTCCAAACTCTGAACCCTGAACCGCATTTCACGGCAATAAGAAGCGAGGAGCTGGACATTATCCAGCAGCTCGAGCGTGAAGTCAAGGCCGGATTCTTTTACTGACACCGAAGCACTGGGCCTGCAGCCGTAAGGGCACACCGGATAACCCGAACCCGGAAGCTTTCAGCATGGAGGCAGCCAAGGTTTGCTCGACTCGTAGCTTAAGCAACTTCCCTGACCTTGATAACACGCGATGTAAATCCCCCCATAGGATTCGGAGGGGGAGAGGGATAGCGAGAGTGGACACAAGCCCGAAACAGTGTCGTTTTCCGGGAGCTACACAGAGATAGATATACGGAGACACAGGGTCCAAGACAAATGTGTCGTGCGGTTGAGCAAAAAGAGGGATACAGAAAGGAGACACAGATGCAACAGAAGCAAAGTGAAAGAGTAAAGGCGGGCACCGAAAGTGCAACTTGATGCACAGCATGTTAGTGCCCTTGTATCGTGTCTATGTTATCACTTTGCCGCCTTAATCTGCTTTACGATGGTTGCCATGCTAATGATCAGTGTTGCTACTACTACCGTGCGCAGGGACAAAGCGTCCTAAACCCAAAGCCTACGACAGGGCCTACAGTGCCACGCATCAACGAAATTCTTTCGAACAGCGACAGAACAGAATGAAGGTCTGCAGCATCCAGCAGACCTTTGATTGCCTCAACCTTGCTTGGCTTTGCTAAGGCTGCTAAGGATTCAGAGTTCATTGCTAGTGCCGCAGTCTTGGAAGCAGCAATACACTACACTTCTATTGGTTACCTTTCGGGCTTCCCGGCAAGACCTGCCAATCGACCCGAACCGATGTGACGGTTTCAGGAGCTTGCCCGGCAAAACGAGCAAGTTGAGAAGCAGCGGGAGAAGATGACGGAGTTCTGGAGGCCGTTGTTTCAGTCAGTATTTCGGTTTAGGCAGCCCAGGAGTCTTTGTATGCTGTTGGAGTTGATCATCACTACCATTACCGCTTTCTGCTTGCTACAGTTGTCACTTCTGTTTTGCCCGAGACTTGACGCGCAGTGTGGTCGTAGCATGCATGTTTCACTTCTCAGCACGAATGCTGGGCGTTGTACTCAGCTAAGGTTTGGAGTGTAGTACGGCGAAGGTTTCGGATGGAAAGCTGGGGTGTGCAGGTGGAGGGATGTGGAGTTCAGGGCCTAAGGCATACATGCATACCTTCGACAGGCACCTTGAATCCAGGTCTCAAAAGCATGGTAGGCGGTCCAGAAGGTTCCGTCACGCACCCAAAAGCCGGTTCAGGGTATTCAGGGTCCAAGGCAGATAGAGTACACGGTTCAGGGATCATTGGAATGCTGAAACTTACACCCCAAACCCTAAGGCCCTAAGCGCAAAACCCGTAACGCGCTGAAAGTTCAAGTTGAAAAGCCCTAGGCGTAGCAGACCTGTCTTTGCCAGTAACGCCCAGCAGCTCACCGAGCTTTGGCTGTACCGGACGGTACCCAGGCTTGATCTCTACAAGGCTGGTTGTATGTTCAGGTGCTGGTATGGCCACAATTGCCACTTTTATCATGAGTATTCTAATGTCACAGTTGGCACCAGTTTATTACTGTCATCATTGCCAGTGTTCAGTTTTACTAGTCTTACCAGTAGTATTACGACATTGATGACGGCTATGTCTTGCTATGGTGATGATGATGGTGATGGTGAAGATTATTATTGTTGCTATTCAATTTGCGCTATCATGATTAGTAGTAGCATTTGTTTATCACTGTTGTTACTGTTAATTGTGTTATTGTTACTACTATTATTGTTA